ACCAGTCACTCTTTGGAGTGTTACAGAGAGAGTTAAGGACTACATGTGTAGTTGAAATGAGCAAGGTTGTGTCAAATATGTAGCCCACATACCCTTCTGCAGATACACGCTTAGCCTAATGACGAATCGAGGATCCCCACTGATGCTGCAATTTAAAAAAGCCATAGCAAATTCTTTTTTCTGTTCTAGTCTTCATCACAGTAGGCACTGTTAGTGGCCATAGCCTGCATTTTTTTTGCATTTCATATTTTCCTCCTGAGGTCCACAGGTTTTATGGACCATGCAGTGCCTTTGTAGTCCATTTTATATCTGTTGTTTAATGTGCCATTCTTTGTTTTTGTTCTCTGACCAAGCAAGTAAAATAGACATTGTAGTTTAATACTATGAAGAAATGTACTGAACTGTTTTCTAGAAAGCTAGGCCTAACTCTATGTTCTTGTGCTGGATAAACACAAAACAGGCAACTTTAAGTGCTACACCTTCTCTTTTAAGGTTAGAGTACATCATAATTTTAAGGATTGCCAGATAATGTATATGCTTTACTTGTTGTTATATGAGTCTTAAAAATCCAGTCCATTATTACCATTTTATGTGACTCGTGGTTGTTGAAGGCATATTTCAGTAATGGAAAGACATACTAGAGTGTATATTGCTACCTTTATGTGTTGCAACATGGATGGAATATTTTGTCCATATTGCGCAGGATATCTTCATTTGATAACTAGATGCATTTCTTTATAATACACAGATCTGCTGATGTTTAATGAATGCCATCCAGTAATTTGTCATCAGTAGCACAGATGCATTCCCACCACAGCAGGAGAGAGCGTCTTTTTTTTTTTCAGTGCCTGCTCCCTCTATCTCTGACCATATGGTTTACTACAGATTAAAGGCGTTTGTTGTCTGCTCCTAGCAAAAGATTATACCCTGCAGTTTGGTTGCAGTGCGGGGGAAATTAAAACAAAATCCCCTCTCAGGATAAGGTGGTGGTTAGCCCAGTGTTGAGGCGTGGTCATTTGTAAGGGGCGGAGTAACATGAGAGATTGGTGATTCTGAAGGTGCTTGCCGTGGAGTTGTGATTAGAGCACATCTGTTTACTGTGCGCACATGCTAGCCTATAACTGATGGTAATATGACTCTCATAATTTGATGATGTCCCGCTTAAGGATGATCTCACAGAGAAGGACTGATGGAGAAATGAGTAATAGGATGAAATTAATGGAAGTAATTTGGTTATATGGCATCTCTAACTAGAGACCCATTTTGAAGGTAGTTAGTAGGTCATTATAAAACACCGTATCGCAGAAACTGTGGTTTTACAGAAGAAGTAAAAAACGTCAACTGTTAATGTTCATTAAAGGGGCAAAAACTACAGTTTAATATGTTATTTGTCATGTTATGTAGTTATGTTATGTATTCTGTTGTGCAGCGTTATATCCCTCGGCCTCATTGGTTTGACAGTTTTATATCGTTTTGGTATTGTCATCCATCAGTGTTCTCTCACTAAAACACCCAGCATGCATAACACAAATACATCACACAATCATTGGGAATCTCTATGGCACTCACCAGATCCTGACTCTGATGTAGCTAGCAGTAGTAATGTAGCACTAGCTTCAATTGTTCATCAAACTTTTTTCTTTGTTAAAGGAATCATTCAGTTAGAGAGCTAGCCAGGGAAAGTAGGGCTGCTTGATTATGGCAAAAATCATAATCACAATTATTTTGGTCAATGTTGTGATCACGATTATTTAACACAGTTACTCGTTGACCGAAAAACAAATAAAAATTAGGGGGTGCACTGAATTTATAACACAAGACAAAATGAGAGCATCGTTGTGATATGGATATAGCACAATAATCTTTTTATCTTGATTCTCTTGTTTTCGTATTCGGGGGAGCCAAAAGTTTAATTGAAAATAAAATTTGATTATTCATGCATCGCTAAGGGAATGTAAATAAACAGCCCACCCTCAAGGCTTTTGTAGTCTTCATCATCAGATGGGGGTTTTCTTAGTCCTTAAACCAGGATGTTTCGCTTTAGGGACTTACAGCACTGCTGTAAGAGGCAAGTAGGCATGTTTACAACATATATCGTGATGGTTAATGTATTCATTTTGACTGGACTTGGCTGAAAGTTATTTTGAATCTTTTCTATTGGCCCATTCATCTTCAAATGTTTACACAATGTAAGGGGCAGCTAGCATTTCTAAATGGTGTCAAAATAGAGTTACAAGCTGTTGATATGATGGTAGTAGGTATATTTTTGTGTTATAACTCTGGTTATATTTAAATTCAAATCACACTTCAAAGCTGCAAAGAATTTAATAGTGTATAGTGAAACAAAAATAATTAGAAACCCTTGTAGTTATTGATCTGTGCAGAAGAAAACCAGGTCTGTCAGTCTTGGTTTTCATGGCCTCGAGCATGTTGGCTTAACACTATGATAGAAACAAAACTGTGTGTTTATTTAAACTGTTCTTCTGGGTCAGCCCACTTCTACAGACATGTTTCAGTATATGAAATTATTTTCTTAAGAAATATTTCAGTGGAACATTCTAGTTGGTCTTTGTACTTTGTTTTGGAATAGACTTGAGCTTTTTTGAAGAAGCTGAGTTTATGTCTCACGTTTGAATAGTTAATTGAATGGGAAATATTTAGGGGGAAACAGTGTATTGTCTAATGGGTTGTTTGATCATGTGGTAAGTTTTTCAATGGCTAATGTGGAGAATGGGGGCATTTACCTCTGGTAAGCGGCCACCCACGTACAAACTGTTATGCATACTGTTACCAGGCTTAACAGATCCCCAAGGAGAAGCACTTTATATTGTTAGAGATGAGAAGAATCACTCTAGGGGTCAAGAGGTAAATGAATTGCGTATTATTGACCATGAGAGTCGGATCAATACATTTGGTGGGAGGTTCATCTGGCTGCTCCATGATCAATATTCAGGGCTGCAGCTAGCACAAGAGTCCATAGCATGAGCTGAGAGGTACGTAATTTTAGCCTTGCCTTGTGTTGTAAGCCTTGCATTGTGCAATATTGCATAGTTTAGCATGATTTGGTAGGCCAGAATAGCATAATGTGCTATAGCACAAAGGGCTGGCATTCATCAGCCACTATCATTTTACTGCGCTGTATAGGGGACAAAAAGAGCTGGAGTTTAGGAAGGCATTTCCCTGGGCTGCCATGGGTCCTAATTTGCTGTGTGTGGCATGATTTCAGCCATGTTAATTGATCTCATCCTCCAGCTAAATGAACCTGAATGTCTTCAGCTTATGCCCCACACACATCCATGACATCACACATACTCAAGTCATCATGTTTACCATTTCCTCATTTTAAAGCTCTTTATTAAAGGGGAAATCCACCCTCTTTATTCAAGTTTTACATAATTCAGTCATTGTCAAAGACATCAAAATCAAAAGTAGTGTTTCGTCTTTGCCGTTTTATCCACAAGGCAAATCATTGAAAACTCCCCCTTATGGATCTTTGCAGATATAAGCAATCAACTTCCAATGGCATTCTTCAAGCCCTAATAAAGATCAGATTTTTTTGAGCTTTCCCTTAGACATGACAGTACAAACAGTATTTGGTACTGCTTAAAGGAACAATTAAAGATATTCTTGTAAATTTCTATAGAAAGATATGGGAATTGACCCTGGGCCAGTATGAAATTTAAGGCGTTCAGTCACACATTAATTGTTTTTGTATAAATTAACTGACTATAAATGACTCTAATCAATCACAATTGCACTTCTTGAGAGTGTAAAACTTGGTGCAATCACATATGTAGCTTATTCACTATTTTTAAAAATAATTCTGTTGATATTATCCTGGTCCCACATGCCTTTCATAACACCTGTACTCATGTACATGTGACAACACTGGTAGTCGTGAAGGGTCTATCACTCAGCCTCAAAAAGATCTAGAGGAAATGTTCTTGCTTGAGTAATTTCCTTTATAAATACTTTAACTCAAGTTAATTATCAATACAGTTGTAACATGATAGAACCAGCCAGACGCTCGCGGTAAAACAGAAATTAGGCCAAACACACTAAATGGCAAACAATAGCAAACAGGAAATGGTCAGTAGCTCTACTATGAGAAGCAATTCCTCGCAAAGAAACTAATCTAAAGCCTGGGCTTTTAAACTAAACTCGTCACATGGCAAACAGAGCAGGTGGAACATATCAGTATTTAGGTGATTTTAGAATGGTAATTGGTAGATTGAGGAGGTTCTACAGTCATGTGATCTCCCAGAGGGTTCTGGGAAATGGAGTCCCTGGGTGAGTCGGAGCCGGAAGGATGCATATCAGTAACAGTACTCTTTTATATATAGGAGATTTCTTTTTCTACCCCTGATAAAATCAAAGTAAAATGCATCTTTTACTCTGTAAACAGAAAAAAATCTGGAAAGCACTGACTTATAAAATATATTGTGTGAGCAGCCTAGCTTAACTAGCTAGCTAATTATTTAGTGAACTGCAAAGATACTGTGATGGAGGAGCTAAAGAGGAGAGCAGAATGAGACATTTCTATACATGAAATACGTTTAATGAGAAGTCACACACTGCTAGCTACCCAGAGGATCATTTTATTGCTCCAGCGTTTCTCTTTGATGGCTCGGGAGACTTTATGTTGAGACGTGAGAGAGGCCTTTCGCTCAGGAGAAATATCAGAGCAGCAGGAGACTGAAGCAAAAGTTTCCTTCGTCTTTCCATCTGATCTCATTGTTGTCTGGGAGGTCACTTTTTACTTTGTTTCTTTTCTTTCCTAAGGTTATGTATGTAACTCCAGTAAATAAAACCTCCTGCATTGCTGTCAGATGAAGTTGGCAACCCTCAAAGCTGGCAAATAGGGTTCCATTACATAGCAGTGGTTCCCGCCTTCAGCCTTGTCCTATCCCGAGCCTCTTGGCTGTGTAACTCTGTCCCCTTGTCCCAAACACACGGCTGACCCTCCATTCACATGCATAGCTGGGCTGGTGGGAGTAAAAATAGCTGAGGCTCAAATTAGCAATGAAGGAGAAGCATTAGCACCCAGTGGCTAGCAGCAGTTAGTTGGCTTTTCTGTTTATGGAAGGTGCTGAATGTTTGACTAGCAAAGAGACAAGTGAGGAAGAATAGTGTGGCGGTCCCTTGCTGGACACAGGAATGGACTGTAAGGAGGAGCAAGATTTTAGGTTTAGCAATAATTAGTATTAGTTTTTCTAGTTAGTATTAGCTTATTTCCAACTTTTTTTATTTTAAACTTTTAATGACGTGAAGCTGATTTGCAGTTGCCATGGGCAATGCAGCTATGCATAAGACACGCAAGGAAACAAAGGACAGTCCTGAGAGGAATACCTCTTATCTAAGTTATGTTTCTGACCAGGGTCAGAGCACTGAATCCTTGGTAAGAATCTGCAAAGCCTATTGGACACTTTCCATCTCCGCTTCACTGCTTGGTGCTTTGGACCTACAGCTGGACCCATGTTTTGGCATTGTCCACTGAATGTACTGTAGTAGTACTTGCAGTAAGTTTCTTAATCAGGTTCCTGTACCGTGTCAGATATAACCTTGATCTTTGAGCTCCTGGGTGGCTTTATCTGCAGCCAGAGTGGTTTTAACTATATTTCATGCAGTATTTGTTTAGATATCATTTTGTTGCTGTTTTCAAGGTGGTGTTTGCCGACCTCTTTGAGTTGTTTGTACTACCAGGCAGCCGTCCAGAGATATCCAGTTGCAAAATGGCGCGTGTTGAAGGTTCCTAAGGACTGATCTCTGTCCAATTTGGCTGCTTTAAGTTTGCTGCTTGGTGGTCTTGCTTAAGTGTTTTATACAAAGCCTTTCTATAGTTTATGCTTGGACTGCTATGCTGGTCTAAAAACTAGCAGCAGACCAACAGACTGCATAGTTCTGAAGGGCACTCTGCTTGCAGTTTTTGTCGATGTTTAACCGATGAGACTTCCACTTTGAGAAATGTCTAATAATGTCTAATAGAGGTATTAGATATAGTACTGAAAGTTATAAAGCCTCAAGTGGTCTCAATGACAATAGCGAAGGCTCCACAAGTTGGATGAAAAATCAGTTTTGTGCTCAAATTATGTAATCATAACATAATATGTGGGTTTGAGGGCTGGAGCATAGGCAGATTTGTTAGCTATGACTCTGAGATGAGTTGTTCCTATGGCACTGCTGGAATCAATACAAACCCATTTGATTATCTTGGCTAAACGTTGGGGAATATGGAGGATTAAAACTTCAATGTCGCGCTAAGGCTGTTAAGTGCTTTTGGCAGCCTGGTGAAGTGAAGCGCAACTAAGTGCTAATTCTACAGAGGACATCGAGCACATGATGTCTTGGCATGAAAGTCAAGTTGAAAAGTTTAAGGGGTAAAGAGATGCAGAGTAAAGGTTTCATACTGTATCTGCAGTCCAAAGGGGTTTCTTAAAGTTAACAGTTAGGATTTAATTTGTCCTGAGATGTCCAGTTATATGTATATTGATATTGTGGAATAATAAGAGCTGATAAACAAGGTCACACCTTAAAATGTGCTTCACTACATTCAATAGTTGAAATAAAATGATAAAATATAGCCGCCACTTCAATACAGCGCTAGCATCCAAGATGTCAGGACTTCATTGATGAGTCACTCACAGCTGTAGGGGCAGCTTCTGAAAGTAGACCTTTTCTGGTCACTCAGGGCTCAGGTGTTTCATGCCTCTCTAGTCTGTGATTGGTCAGGCTTTCTATTGCCATGGTAACTCAGATGACCTTTGACCTACTGTCCAAGAAAGCTAAGCGCAGTTTTGCAGGAGCTGAGCTGCTGAGGAGATGGAGGTCCTGTTATATGAATTTGAAAGAATGAAGATGTTTAAGTGTGCTGTACTTGAGTAGATCTGTAATATATACAGAAATAATTTAGGACCCTTCATTGATAGGAGTGACAGGGGGACATGCCTGCCCTAAAATTCAGGAATTTTGGTTTCATGATGCTCATAATAACTATTAGGGATGCCTAACGGTTCCTTCTTCTCTTTGAATCCTCGGTTTATTTTGTAGCTAGCATAATGATCATTTATATTTTAAATTGTCTTTCTGCTCTAAGAAACAACATGATGAACAAATTTTTTATGCATTTTTTTGCTACAAGGTTTATTTTTCATTTGAAACTAAATACCAGATTCATTTAAAAATAATTGGTGGCTTACACGATTACTAATATAAATGATGGTGACAATCCTGATGATAAATTTGTGTTTTTGGCCCTAATTTAGTTGATGTTTGAAGGGGAATTCGACTTTGTTTTTTAATTCTGCATAATTAATTCATTCAATAAAAAATACATTCATGGTGGAGAGGTACATGAAGAGTATTGTGAGGCAAACAAGTAAGTAGGCAAGTTTCTCTACAATGAACCATTTTACATCAAACCACTCTGAATGACTTTGTTTACATCTCAACCATTGAACTATGCAGACATTTTGAAAAATCAGTGGAATTCCTCTTTAATGAGGAAGCTCCTTGTCTTTGTTTACATTGTGGTAGCGTTTTGAGGTATATTTAATCTAGAAGTATGCTGAACAATAGACATATGAGAGAAATGGAATAAACTATCTAGTCTGTTGTACTGAATGAATCCTCCTGCATGTTAGTACAGTGGCTGCTGCCATCAATCTCTATGTTTTATAATTCCCTGAACACCAAACTCTTTTTATAGGGTGATAGGATTGAATTGACACATAGAGAGAGCTCTGTGTGTTAAGGGATCGTGTGCTCACGGCAGTTATGATGAATTGGGCCTATCAGAAAGGTGTCTAAGTTGTGTGAGCATGTGTGTGTGGGGTGGGTTGGCCCCCTGTGGCTGATGGGATTGTCTGTGTCTTCAAGAGAATTTACTGCTCTGGCCAAATGGGTTATTGTGTTTCTGTTCAAGATGCATCATGTTGCATCATTTTTTTATCATTTTCCTGTATTGTTGATAAACATACATTGCTCATCAAAGGTTTGTGCATGTCTAGTGTTTCAAAATGTTTAATAATAACATATGAATCAGTAATATTTATTTTCAGTCAGTCATTAATATTCAGTAATATTTATTTAGTAATAAAAAAAATAATCAGTGATAATGCTATGTAATAATCTCAGAAATCTTCCAAAAAAAGCCCAAAAGAGTTTTAAAACAAATCTGCTTTTCATTTCAAGGAAGGCATTGTGATGAATCTGAGTATTTTAAAATTTACCCAAACTGTTTGAAAGTCAGTGATGTATGTTTTGCAACAATTTTGCAGGTATTTTTCTGTGGAAATTTCAAAAAAATGCAATGGTGTTTCCAAACTTTTGAAGGTTGTATTCTATAGATTGTGCACCGACAATGATCATTAATCAAATCATTATGTTCAGCTGTTGAGAAGTCTGTGTAATTTTCTATGTTCTATTTTTTCCTGATGCTGAACAATGAATAACCTCTACATAATGGCCGTTTTGAATGGAAATTAAATAAATGATGGGAGGTCTCTGACTTTTGCATAGTACTGTAGATTATAAGTGATACATCATTAGTGTTGTAGAGCAGTTCTCCAGTGGTAGTTTAAATGGCCATCTGAAGTGCTTCAGTCAAAATAGCTTATTTTGTAGCATTCTAGTTTTAAAGAAAAGAAAATATCAGGTTAATATTCAAAGTTTCAGTATCAGTACTGGTATAAGAAAAGAAGATCTGGTATTGTGCCGTCTCTGCATCTGAGCGTTTAATCTGTGGCCTCTGCCTGCTCTCCCTCCCCAAGCTGCTATGACGTGTGACTCAGAGGAAAAGTTGTATTTCTGGCATGAGTGGAGTGTTTTTTACACTGCCATGCTGAAAAGTGCTGCAGCATAAACTGTCCTCTCATCGCTTCCTGTGTCCTTGAGGACAGGACTGTGCCGCAGAGACGAGATCAAATGGCTAAGTGTGGCGTCAATCACGTCAGGACAATTGACTCATGGTTTTCCAGATTACTTTTGCTAAGGATCTAATGCTTCCATGTAGCCCATATCATTAGATATCATGATTATATCATTAGATATTATGATTGTTTCTCACTCTGATGGAGGAAAAAATACTAACTAATGACAGGAATATATTATGTATAACTAAATTCTAATAACATGAGTAAAAATGTACCCTAATGGGTTAATGCAGTAAGCCTTTGGGGGGTGTGGTGATCCACTTACTCAGTGTCTTGTTACTCACTGTGGAATTAATACATGTTGAAAGCTTCTTGATTGCTATTGGAGAATGATATCTTGTTTATGTGAACCCAGGGCATCCCAAAGGATCTCTCTCTCTCTATCTCTCGCTGTCTATCTCTCTTACTCTCTCTTTTTCTCTATCTCTCTCTCTCTCTCTCTCTCTCTCTCTCTCTCTCTCGTGCTCTCGTATGTAGAGAAATAATGGTGCAGTAAACAGTTGCCTCATTGCTCTGTTTAGCAGGATGGCATGCAGGCAAGTGTGCTTTAGTGCAGTGTTGGGATTTCAGGAATAGACTGATGTTCCAGCAGGTGGTGCACAGACTGTGCATGCTTGCAACTATATGTGTGTATTTGCATCTACCTAACAGAAAATTCTGCCAAAGTTGGAACGTTTCTGCATAATTCAGTCATTGAGATGTAAACAAAGTCATTCAGTGTGGTTTGATGTTAAATGGTTCATTGTAGAGAAACTTACTGGCACATATATATTTACAGTGGTGGTGATAGGAACTGGAGTCATGATGTTGACAATTCAAATATAGCCATTTTATTTGCTATACAAAATAACCAGTGAACCTACATGTGTTTTAATATGTAATGTTAATAATGGTAAAAAATGTATATCTTGGTTCATCACAACACTCACAGAAATACTAGACATCTGCAACTGTAATCGGTCAGCATGCTTACAACACACAATGAAAAAAGCAATGTGATTGATTAGGGAACTCACTTGCATGTTGCACCCTTCTGCGATACCAGTATTGAAAAGGCTAGTATCACGATAATGATTAATAAGCAATACATTGTGCAACCGTTACTCACCGCAGTAGGTCTTTATACAGATCCACTCTTAAGAGAAGCTCAGATCCTGTTGGCCTAGAAAGTGTATTACACCGGGATGTTTTATGTGTGGCATGTTTATGTCTTCCATCTCTCTCTCCAGACACTGTTCATCAGCTTGGAGCTAGACTGGCAACGAGACTTTATGTTTCTGGGCAGCGCTGTACATTTTGTCTCTTTTCAAACTTTGTGCATGAGAGAGTTAGAATGAGTGGGGATAAACAAAATCAGCTAAGCTGTTGTTTGCACTGAGACTCATAGTCTTACACTGTCTTCATTTGATACAAGTAACAGTTCTCTAAGTCAGCGTTTCTGAAATCGACACGCACGTTTTGGAAACCA